CTCACAGGAGGCAACAGCGCCATGTGAAGAGAGAGGCTGGCACAGTGGTGTGGGCTCTGGATTCCAGGCTATATACATGTAATATTAATTAATTACCAAAAGTATACAAAGCTGAAAGTGTTAAAGTGGAAAAAAGGACAAGGACAGAATGATTCCACAACTGATGACCTCAGACATCAAACCAGTTGTAAATATTTTTTTCTGTATTAAAGAACATTTTATTCAAATGACTAATTAATGTATCAGTTACTAACAATTTACTTTCTTACAGAACAGAAATCATGACAATTAGCTCTAAATAATACTCACTGAAGCTTTGACTTCCACCTACTTGTCTGCAGGTTACAGCTACAGCACGTTACTGCTACTCAAAAAACATGCATGCATTCGATATTTGTGCTGTGTTCTGTGTTCCTGTATATTGTGTGCACAAACACAGTGATTAAACACAGCACAGAGGACTTGTTTTTCAGTTCCCATGGAATGGCTTTGCCATGCCTTTTTGCAGAACAGGATGTTTAAGCAGAACACTGTGACAGAGGAGCGTTTCTGGGATTTAATTTGAATTTAGGCACGAGAGCCCAGAATAATCCCATTTTGCTTTATCAACTTCTCGTTACCCTGTAATATAACAGCTTACTAAGCCATCCCCAAGTGCTCCAGTTCATCACTTATAGTGAGAACAAACACACACAGAGCAGAGAGTGAAAGAGTGAACTTACATCAGTGTGAAAAAAGTGCTTTTAAAGTGTGTTTGATATTTTTCTGTACATACCAATTGGAAGTTCAGTACCTGCAAAACACAGTCAATCACTTTTGAAGTAAACTGAATTTGGGCTTTTCATGCATTTGTTTTTGTGGACACATTTACATGTATGCACTAAAACACTTTGCTTAAGGTAGACAAACACAAAAAAAGTTGTTTTAGTGACCTTCCCATCTGGACCTTTAATATCTATAATTCTAATAAATTACAAAATTTGACGATTCAGCATTTCTTCACAGGTTTTTGTGTGCATTGTGCTTTGCTGGATATATAATCATGTGTCTTTAAGTCTGCACTGATCCTGGCTCTTACCATCTTCATCAACCTTTTGGATGAGCTCAGAGGGCGCAGAGGCCTCGCTGGAGCCATACATGTTGACCGAATACACTCGGAACTGGTACTTTTGCCCGTCTTGCAAATCAAAAACTGGGTAACGAGGGGAGTGCAGTTTGACTGTTGTGTTGATCCGCTGCCAGTCTCCAGTGCCTGCTAAGCACTGTGTGGGAAAGTCAGGGAGGGGGGCAAATGAGAAGGTATAGCCATATGTGTTGTGGCACAGACAAAAAGAGCAGCTTTTATACTGTGTTTTACAAAGTTAAATCTCACTTAAATTAATTAAATAATTTAAGATATAAGAATCATAAATAACAAAGTGTATGTTTGTGTGTGCCAAAAGGGTTAAAAATAAAATCAATCTTTGTGTGAATTCTGCTATTGACATGTAACTGAACCGGGGGCAATGCTAACACTGTTATTCAAGCTAAACCTGATGAAAACATTCTCTCACTTTTTCGGGAAATATAATAAACATATTGTGTAAATGTCAACATTTTTAGCAAGACTGTTTACAACTTGACTGGCTTGCTTAATGTGTGGCATTAAAAATACTATAAAAAGCACAATACATCAGATACAATATGTAATAAACAAGATTTCAGACTATCATCAACTTGAAATCTAGCATCTCAATATATAGCTACTATCACACAAATTTGTATTACATTTGAACTTCTTGTATAAGCATTCACTATGGCTACTATATGAATTTGTTTGCAATATATTATAAGCTCACAGCTATGTTTACATCCTTGCGATTATATGCATTAAAACATGTCATGTGACTCTACACTGGTTGCAGTAAATCCATTGTTCCATATTTACACTGGGTAGCAAAACCCTGTGTAAACCCACGGAAGCTTCTCTAAAGATGAGATCAAAAGTTCAAAAATGTATCAAACTGAAATCTGGAGATATGCTAGTGTAGAGTTCTCTGTGTGAAATAAAAAAAAAACAAAGAAAAGAAAAAAAACATGTAGTTTGGGGTATTGAAGTTTCACGCAACCCAAACGTAATACAGCTTCGTTTGTGTGTAGTGCTGCCATTTAAGTAAAACCTGAGAGGACATTTAAATGTGACTGTCTTGTTTATCCCTCAGCTACAGTACCAAGGTTAAATCGGCTAAACTGAGAGCAACTGATGGGCAAAAGTGAAGCAGCACACACCTTCTCGATGACGTACCACAGTGGAGCTCGTCCACGGGGGCTAGGAGGCTTCCAGCTCAGCACGACATATGATTTGAAAATTTCGGATGCATGCACATCTGTGGGTTCACCTGGAATAGTTACGTAGCCTAGATTGGGAGTGAACAGTGTTGAGGCATAACGTACACAGAACAGCAGCCACTGCAGAAGTCCCACATTATTCACTTTTTGTACTCAGGTTTTTATCTGTGGCTACAATGTAGCTTGCCATGTGTGTGAATGTGTGTGTGAATGGGTGGATGACTGAATGTAGTGTAAAGCTGGGCGATTGTGGCTCAAGAGTTGGGAGTTCGCCTTGTAATCGGAAGGTTGCCGGTTCGAGCCCCGGCTTGGACAGTCTCGGTCGTTGTGTCCTTGGGCAAGACACTTCACCCGTTGCCTACTGGTGGTGGTCAGAGGTGGTGGCGCCAGTGTCTGGCAGCCTCGCCTCTGTCAGTGCGCTACAGGGTGGTTGTGGCTATAATGTAGCTTGAAATCACCAGTGTGTGTGGATGACTGGATGTGTAAAGTGCTTTGGGGTCCTTAGGGACTAGTAAAGCGCTATATAAATACAGGTCATTTACCATTTAAAGTGACTTTTACAATGCTTCTAATGTTACTGTTGAGCTTGCTTTCAAAGGCAGAGAGGAGATTAAATATTCACCACTATATGGACTTCAATAACGCATTTTCATAGAATTGTACTTATAAGTGATGAAAACAAACACAACTAAGTCCTGCCTTTTTCTCGCTTGTTAAATTCTAAAAGTGCTGATCAGCAGGACAATAACATTGGTGGAATTTTATTAAAGATTAAATAATTATTTTTGGTAGCATTCAACAATAATTACATATCCAAATGCTACACTAGAGCTGCCACAGCCTCGTATGTGGTTTGGTGGCTCAATGCTCACAAAACACACAATATTTTAGTTTTGTTTAACTACAAGTTTCATATACAGCAGTTAGCCATTAGATAAACCAGAACATGGATAAAAACTCCTGATATCATATTTCAGATTTAAAAAAAATAGAAATATGAACTAAAAGGACGTATCAAAGTTAAAGTTAACAGTGAAATGTGGGACTTCTACAATAGCCTTGATTGTGATATTATACAAATATGTAATATTTTTGATATTTTCTATTAGTTTCTAAAATTAGTTTTCATCTGTTATAAGTTTTTGTTAAAGTAGTATATTATATTAAGTGGACACAATTTAAGGAGAAAACTGTTTCAGTTAAAGTGTGAATGGAAAAAGTTCGATTAGATCAAAGACAGCACCACAAAAGTTAAGCTGGGAAGGCTCTGGAAAACAGTTTTCCCTGTGTTGTTTAAAAAAAACCTTATGAGAAAATGACAGATTAGTTCTAAGATCCGCATTAAAATGTTTTTCCTTCTCATGTTTCCTTCGTTGAAAAAGATACGAATGTAAAGGTCAGAATTCAAACGCCACACCTTAAGATGAAAACATATTCCTGTAATAGTGACTAATTTAATCATGCAGCACTCATTTGTTACTGGAATAATGATCATGTCCAATAAACAGGTATAAATGGAAAGAAAATTCACTGATAGTGGAACAGAAAACAGAACAGAACAGCAAACAAACATCAGTGAGAGTTTGATCAGGGAAGATGCCTTTTTAAGCAAACATCCCCATAAAATGTAAAATGTTCTCATGATGGTGCTGCTGGGGTTGAGTGACAGATGTTAGTATTTAGTGAGATTGTGAGGTGGTGGCTTAAAGATAGGGGAAACAAAAACTGTGAAACCAGACGAGTGTGTAACCACTATACCTTCCAGGTCATCATCCTTTATCACTATGTCGTATTTTCCTTCAATTTTAATCACTGTTGCAGGAAATGACAACAGATCGGTCAGAAAACGCTGGCATCCTGCTGTCCTGTATTTTGTATTTACCTTCATCTGTACCTTGCAGTCTCTCACTCTCTGCAGCGTCCAGGGCCGTCACTTTGTCTGACTTGCGTGAGGGCCTGCTGATGCCACTGCTGTTCACGGCTCTGACCCGGAAGTAGTAGGAGTGGCCAACCCTTAAGCCATGTACTGGGTATTTGCAGATCTTCACTGGGGCGTCGTTGCACTGCACCCAAGTGTCAGTGCCAGCTTCACACCTTTACAGCAAATAAACTCTCCATTATCATGAAATTAATATCTTTTTATAAGAAAGTACTTCACATGACATTTTATATTTGTTATGAGGCAATTTTGACAAGCTGAGAAGTTAAAGTATCCTAATAAACTGGTGAGAAGGGCTGCACTTGCAAGTATTTTTGTTTAAAGAAAACTGCAGTCCAGACCTTTCACCAGTTGAAAACATTTGGTGCATCATGAAATGAAAAAGATGACATAGAAGATCATACAGCAGGCAAAAATAGGGCAAAACTGATCTCCCAACCCTCCGCTGTAACCATCTGGTTGTTAAAAGAAGAGGGGATGTAGTCAGCTGTAAACATGGCTCTGCACCAACGTTTTTTTCAAAGATGTGTTGCTGCCATCAAATCGAAAATAAGGTATATTGTTTTTCTTAAAATGGTTCATTTTCCTACTTTAAACATCTGTTTAAAATATAAACATATGTTATTAAATACATTTTCAATGTTCCACTGTTAATAAAATACGCGTTCATGAGATTTGCAAATCCCACAAGTCTTATATGCACTTTATGTAACCATGAAAATAAGCAAATCATATCTGGCATTTGGTGTGAAAAGATACATTTAATTTAGAAAATCTTCTAAGGAGTGCAGCTCTAATAACTATGACTCACTTCCTTGGCATTAAGTGCAGTATAATTCCACTGTATTCATGTCAGTGTGCCAACTGTGGTCTATTTAAAGAGACCTGGAAGCCTTCTTAAGATTAAAACTGACCGATCCACAAAGTATCCAGTGATGGGTGCCTCGTTGACAGTGTTTGGGGGTTTCCAGGCAACTAGGACATAGTCCGAATTGATGTCATAGGCCTTTACGCTCATTGGTGCGCCGGGGGCTCCGGGTGCAGAGGGAGCAGCATCTAGGGAATAAAGAAACACGGGTATGTTGGGGAGGAAGAATGGAAGACGAATGGTGATAGACACAACTATTGTGGCTCCACCGCTTATTTGCATACTATGCCTAATGTGTGGTAACAGGAAATAAGGAGTCAATAACACCTGTTTTAAATCTATGTACTGCTGTGAGTATAGAAAAGATTAGGAACTCTTAATTTAATTGCTAACTAATAAAACATTTCATTTTGCCAACCAAGCTTTCACTTGCTCAAGATACAAGACACATCATTTACCACCATTTGCATAGTGTAGTTATTTTTCTTTGTTAGGGGCATATAAACCTGCGTCTCATCTGCATAGCAACGGAGAGGCTTCTAAAAGTACAGCCAAGGGGCAGAAGATAAAAGCAGAGGTCCAAGTATTGATCTCTGTGGTACCCCACATGAGACCAGAGCTGAGGACTTACACAAAATGTTCTCTCAGCCAGGTAAGACCTAAACCATGCAGAGCATTCCCCTAAAAATCTTTAGCCAGGAGGATGGCATTAACAACCCTAGGCAAAACAGATTCTGTGCCAAGCAGAGATTTAAAACCAGACTGAAAAGTCTCAAGGTCACTATTTTCATCTAAAAAGGTTTTTTAGCTGACTATAAGCAATTTTCTCCAGAACTTCAGAGAAAAAGAAAAGCTTGTAAATAGCCCTAAAATTTGATAAAATACTGTAGCATGCTTAACAGGTTTGGGAAAAATACCAGATGAGAAACTGCTATCGAGGACAGATGGAGAGATGGAAGAGTAGAAATGACCTCTTTAAATAATCAAGGTGGAACAACATCAGCAGGGAAACCTGTGGGCTTCAGATGACCAACAACCTCATACAATAAAAAGAAAGTTACAGGCTCAAACTGGCCAAAAGCAGCAGACCAAGGAACAGTGACTGAGGTGTCAAGAGCAGACGTGGTGATATCTGAGCCCTGGCATTATTCACCTGTTCCACAAAGAAATTCTCACCTCAGAGGAAGGTTCAACAGTGTTACGTATTTTCATTTTTAACCAACTTATCTTCATTTTTTTCTTTTATCTATTATTACACTACACATAATCAGACTATCATATATATTAACCAGATTATAGTTGGGTATTTTAAGTAAGGTAAGTTATAAGTGGTAAGTTTAAAGTTTCTAAGGTTTGTGCTATTCTATCTCTTTTGCTCATTCATGGCTTTTTAAAATTTTTTCCATTGCTCTATTTATTCTAAACAGCGATTTCTGATTTGTTCTTTCAAAGTCGATCACGTGGTGTTAGGACTGTGTCCTACCTGAGACAAACAGGTAGGCGCTATGCTCAGCAGTGCCGTCCTTTGTGAAGATCCGAAGCGTGTAGAGGCCCTCATCATCCTTGGCCAGGTGAGGCAGCGTGAGAGAGGCAGCACCTCCACCCACTGACATCTCCACCAGTTTACTTGGTTTCAGCAGTTTATCTTTTAGAATACAAGATAGAGGACATAATGAGAAGTGACCAAACTCCACAGTCAACCGACAGTGCCACACACAAACATAATGAAAGAATGAAAGAAGGTCTGACCATCTCTGTACCACTGGGCAATGGGTGGTATGTTGGGGAGATCGGGGACCACCACCATTGTACACACCAGTCTGATGGAGTTGCCCTCCACACCAAAAGACACTGGGAACCGGTCAAGCAGGCTGACATCCAGCTTACTGGCATGGATCTCAGTCAGATGAGGCACTGGAGGACAAGATTTGCAACATCATTAGCAATCAGATAATAATCGTATTTTGTGGATATGTGGAGAGAACATGTTTGCAATATCAGAATGATAATGTAGAACCACAATGGATTTATGAACATAAATCTGACATTTTTTCAATATAACTATATGGGCTTGTCATTCAAAAGCATCAAAATTCAGTATACGTGTCCAGGAGCCAAAATGAGGTCTGAGATTTGCTATCTTAGACGTCAATGATTTTAAGGAAATTTTGTGACACTGTCCCTTGCTTTGGCAACCACAGGCTGTGATTTCCACAAAGTGATGTGTGATGAGTGTTTCACTTTAAACGTGGACTTGGTTTAAGAGCTTTCAAGTACAATCAGCACATCCAGTAACATTAAGAAAGTAGAAACAATTTGTAGTCACAGTTATTTCTCTGGAACTTTTAAAAAATGTGTCCATAAGGAGTGAACAGCATGAGTTTTTTCATTTCAACAATGTATACAATAAATCTTAAATAAGGTAATCCAGCTTAATTAGTTTTGACAAAGGAGATGTCTGGTGTTTTTAGTCTAAATGAAATCTTGTGGAGGTTAGTATTTTCTGGACTGCTCATTATTTAAATCCCAACATGTACATAAATGTTTCGACCGCTTGCTGCTCATCTAAAGACAGATCTGTGTTTTGTTTTTCTTCAGAGGGAGTCACGGGACAGGAACAGCTTGCTATCAGTTTCCACTTCTTATCAGGCCTCTCATTGCTTGCTGCTATTTGAAGTGTCATGATTCCATGAGCTTGTGTCTGGGCGTGACACCTCAATCCCCACACTCCCCAGTCTTACTAACTCCCTTTATGCTCTCACCTAAACCAAGATGGCAGGACTCTCCAGCTCCAGCTGGTCCTGTGAAGAAAAGACGTTTATGTTTACAGAGAAAGACATGGGACGTGAGCAATGTCTTTAAGAAAGAAGGAGACTTACTCTTCACAATAATTTTAGCTTTGCTGGTAGCTGTGCCATGCTGGTTGGTTGCCACAGCACTGTACTCAGCAGTATCACTCACAACACACCTACAAGGTCAGCCAGAGTAGGAAGAAGTCACTGATTGCAGTATATCAACATTTATATTTGATTTGATGCCATTTGGTTTGAAGAACATGTATTATTTAGGTTAATAGAAGGTAAAATGCAAGCAATTGTGTTGAGACTCAAGAAGAGTCTGAGGTTTAGAATAGAAGGAAGAAATTTGACCTTCAGCCTGAGCTGAACTATTTTAAAAGATCCATTTTCCCAGCTGTGTTGGACATAGATGCATCCTTCTTGTCACTTGGTGCTTTTTGCATAAAGAATGTGAAAATGACTGATTCTGAAGAAGTTTGGCAAATAAACTATGATGTTCTCAGTGACCTTCAATGCTACGACGGTCCAGAGATATTCCAATTCTCAGAGAGAGGGAGGGACAGAGAGAAGCGGAGCGCAGTCAGAGGAATTCATGGCTCAAATGACGCAAAGGTCAGCACTCCAACATGAACAGCTGAGGGGTCTTGAAGATGACGAAAAGAAGCAGGCTGCAGCCTCACCCTCAATTTAGCAATCTCCCCTCTAACTCTCCAGCTGACTGTCAGATAATGTCAAGATATCGATATAATGTGCTAACAAAATAAAAGTCCTGTAAGTGTAAACATCTACGCTGAGCATGAGTGACAGACGTTCAGTCTTTCCAAGTTTGTTTCTATGCTGCTTTCCTTTCAGTTTGAAGGCTGGTTATAATACAGCAACTAGAAAAATTGCTTGACTATATAAAAATATTGTCTTTTCAACAAACCTCATAAAACATATTTACACTAAACCTTTAATGGGACATTTTTTTAATTTAAAATGAAAAAAAGTTTACAAAACCCCCAAAACATATATAGTCCATGCAGGGAGCAATTTCAGTTTGCGCTGTTGGAAGAAAAACGAATACACAATCCAGAAGAAATCCTGAAAGCTGGAGCTGGAAGCCTTTTTGTTGCTTAAATGCTAGAAATTTTCACTCAGTTGATAAATTCATTAAAGTCTTAAACAACCCTCACTTCTTTATATTTTGGTGGGAGAATCGGAAGCAGATGCAGAGATTTATAGAAACATGTAAACATACAGGGAAATACAGCACACGAGGCAAAATGGTTGAACTGCAGCCTCAAATGATAACAGAGCCTCCATCATGCTTTATAGACAGCTATAGACTCTCACTGATGATCATTTGAACCAAAAATGTCCTATTCGGATTCATTGGCCAATCAGAGCAGGTTATACTGATTTTCGTTCCAGTTCTTGTGCAGTTTAGTACACCACCTCAGCCTTTTCTCCCTATTTCACTTCCTTTCGAATGGCTTCTTGGCAGCCACCATTCATCTTAGACCATTTAGGCTGAGGCTTTGTTGAATAGTAGAGCCAGATCTCTCAGGTCCTGTGTCACATTTTTAATTGATTTTTACTGAGCGTCACTTTCAGATAATCTTCAACTGCTGTAGATGTTTTGTAATGTCAGCCATTTCTTTGGTCCTCCACTTGTCTACTTTTCCCAGATTTTTTAAGGACATATTGCCAACCATGCAGCAATATGACAACAGTTAATAGCTCTTTGGGCATCTTGTTGGTGCAATTTATCTGTTATGTGTAGACACATAGTGTTAGGTGTTAGGTGATGCTTTTTTGTGCTTGAATGATTTGTAGGTCAGTGTTAAGCAGAACAACAAACAAACAAAAAATTGTGAGCTTAAAGTCACGTATGACTGAAAATGAGTGAGAGCTTGGAGAAGAAAGAAAGTCTGACTCTGTAAACTATAAAGAATATAAAGTGGCTGAAGACATTTGCACAGTACTGTATAATATATTCAAGACTGTATTATATCACTTCCTGTTGCCCTAACATTAGTTTAGGCATCTTAGTCTGAGGAAACAATATATTGGCTTTTACCTTATTACTGTACATTTACAGTCTTATTCTATAGTCTACAGAATAACTACATTTTAACAATTTTACATTTTTTATTTAAATCATTTTTATATGTTATTGATGATACACTTCACTGTTACAGTTTAATGCTGACCGCCACATGCACAAAAAGATGACAATGACGAAAGTAACTAGTAACTAGCACGCTTGGTTACTACCACACTGTGGCTCAAAACAGTGTCGGAGGATTCTGAGATATAAAACGGACAATCGACCTCCACCTGGAAAAAGTTAGCTCACTGATACTGGAAGTCTTTACTAAATTTGTATGAATATTTCAGAGATGCTAATGCATTACCAACACATATCAGTAATTAATAACTTCATTTTAATTCATAACTTAATTTTACTAAAACATTTTACTTCTCTAATTTACTGAACAACATGACTTTTTTCTTTTTACCTCATTTCAGGTAAAAAGAAAATCAAAGGCTGCAGCATCCATGTTATAAAACTCAGTTTAATGAAATCATTTATGTCTAACTGCTGAGAGTTGTAGATAATACATACCTGCTAACAATCAAACTATGGACTCCATATTTATTCTCAATCTTGTACTTTCCTGGGGTACTCAGTGGATCTACTGGCACTCCATCTTTATACCTGCCAATAAATCTGAATCAGTTTCACACTACAGTGATATTCTACAGTCCTAAAATATTTCAATAGTGTAATAAATCAGAAAAGCTTATAATGGTATTACCATAAAGCTTGAGTCAAATTTAAAAACCCGCTTGTGTGTGATGGCAGTATACTGACCATTTGACGATGGGCCTCGGATTTCCTTCGACGGTGCAGAACAGCTTGACAGGAGTCTTCTCCCACACAGTATGCGGCCGTAAGGCCACCAAGAAGTCTGGCAATTTGGGGATTTCCTCCAACAGATCCACTCTCTTTCTCATCATCCCCTTAACCTGGAGAGAGTCAACTGCATCAAGTTAATCTATTTATGAAAATGACATTTTTATGCATTATCTCTATAGGGCAGAGATTACATAAGCACTTTAGTGCAACATGTTATCTTTGTCAACAATTCTTAGCTAACAGCAAATCTGAAACCTGACAAAACCAATGAAGGAACATGAGGCCAGCAGATGTTAGTGATCATATTGTTAAAACTCCTAAAAAGTTGGTTTATTCCTGAGACTGATTTGACCAACAGTTCACTGATGCAATGTCAATAAGACCATTGGGCTCAGATTTCATAGAAATGTACAGCTGAGTATCTACAGTGAATGATTTAGATTACATTTAGAGACTCTAGATCTGCTGTTTTGCTGTACTCATGATTACAAATTGATATAATTTTAATAGTGATTGTAACAGAGACAGATACATTAAAGCGTACACACAACATTTCCACAGACTTTTAAACTTGTTCCACATATATGCGATAAAACACCAGAAAAACAAACCAACAAAGGAACTATAGTGTCACCTTGATTTGTTTAGCAGATGGTTACTAACCTCTTTCTGAATTTCAAGACTTTCCACTTGGGCCTTAGTAGCGATCCTCATCCTATGAAGCTCCTCCTGAATAACAGCCAGTCCTTTCCCAACATTTTTGCTTACTCTCTGGTACTCCTCAGTCTCCTCAGCAGTCCTAACAATGCATACATCAGAATAATCTTTGACTAAGATTGACTTTAGCATCATTGTTAGCGATACGCTTGTTACATATTTACCTACAAGCTGAACTGTTACCCTAAAATAATTGTATGATACAACCTGAAACCGTTGCATTGAGCATATCAAGCATAACACAGGATAAAACTAACCTTGAGGGCAGGGAGTCAGTGTTATGAGTCTATAGGATTGTAGCAGTAAGACTGTGCAATTGTTTCATAATTTAAACGGTAATCATTGAATAATTAACAAGTTATACTAAAGAAATGTGCTGTGGTTACAGGGGTCAGCCAGTAGAAAATGTAGTTGCATGTTACCTTGCGACTGAAATAGCTGTGAGCCAGAGCAGACTCACCTCTGCCGGAACACCGGCACGGTATAGGCTTGTTCTGCCATAGCCTCCGTGGCCTGGGCCTGTGCCTGGCTCACCGATTTAGAGCTTGATTTGCTGTTGAGGAAAACACATCATTAAAAATCAGAAAGCAAGTTCTCTGCATAAAAAAAATTCTCAGGTTTTAATTTAGCAGCTAAGCTGAGTTTGTCTTCTGAACATATACATACATAAAAACACAAACACTCGCAGTAAAAAATAACTAACAGTTACAAACATGCGGTTACAAGATTTCCCAGCATATCTGCCTGATGTATTGTATACGCCACAGAGGGATTAAATCTGTTTATGTACTTTGTCTTTTTCTCAAAATTAGCTGGGGTTAAGAAAATTGATTGATGGATATTATTCTCTACATGCATACCACAACCACTATTGTGAAAAATCTGACAGTGGCTAGTGTCATTTGCACAACAAACTATGATTTTATCCAGAAAATTATTTTTACAAAATAACCAGAAAATTGACATTCTGTGTATAAAGACTAACCACCACTTTGAGAGAAACTTCTTCAGTACTAACACAACTGTGTATAGTTAGTAGCCTCAGATGTAGGTCAGGTTCAAGTGGTGACATTAGTCATCTGCCATTAGACAGCTGCAGTTTCCTACCAGATCCCTGGGAGATCAGAACTTGGCTCGTAGGGGCTCAGTTTATTACCTCACCACTAGTGACGAAAAAGCCAATCTTCAGCATGTATAATATCATGTTAAGTATGACTATACTGCACAGCACAGCTGTAAGGGCCAGAAAACCTTTTTAAAAAGCATGCTATAGCAACAAAGACAAATGCATACATGTCTTTCATTGGCCTGAACTATAAGATCTGTTGGCAGAAGCTGCAGAGCAACAGAAGCAATAGCACTTCCTGAAATACCGACTTGGGTTCTGCTCTCAGAGATTCTGGAGCTCACATAGACAAAGAGCTTTAGAATCACTGGTGATACATTGAGGTTTTACAAAGAAACGAACTGAAGCTATAATAAAGAGGCATGAAAATATATTCCTGTGGAAAACGATAAACAGAACTAACATCTGGGTATTCAGTCAGTTAGCATGTACCACTCTGTGACTGACTGATTTGTTCATGAAAATCAGAATTTGCAGAACTTTGAATTTGAATTGACAATTAAACTGCCAGCTAGGAAGCAGACACACCCACTACCGCAGCTGCTCCTCAGCAACACCCCTGTGTGTGTTTTTTGTTCTACGTCGCAAAGCAGCAAGAGCTGTGCTACTCAAAGCAGCAGGTAAATGTCACTGTCATACCTTTCTGTGTGCTGCTTGGAAACGTGTTTAGTGTGATGATAAGCATAATCAGTTTTGACTTGGCTCACATGCTTCTTCTTATACCAAGGTATGACTTTGGAAGCCATGACTGGAACACTTCAAGGAGTCCTGGCCAAGAGTACCAGTGGGAGGGGGAGACCAAACATGTGTTAGCCATGTTAGAAATGTCAATACAAGTATTTACTTTACCACCACTGTTACTGCAATCATTCTGTGATGTAAGTTTAAAGTATTAGATGCGCTGTCATCTCTGAAATCAACCGTGTGCAAAGGTTAACAGGTGCAGTTTCTGCTGTTCTGTTGTAGAATTTATACAACACATGAGAAAAATACCCACACCCGAATCTCTAATAGACCTAAACAATGTTTAAAGGCAAACATTTATGAGACAGCATGGCAGTTCCAACTTTTTACTCGAGCTCAGCACTTCAACTGCTTCCTCTAACAGCCTCACACAGCTCAGCTATGAATAGCTTTCACCAGTCTGCCTATTCCATTATCGGAGAAATGAAGGAAACAGTGTCATTACCAGAAGAGCACAGTCCTCACACTATTTAATTAAAACGATTGCGCAGGAAATCAGAGTGATCAGACTGTACAGGAACAAGACTTAGATCTAAGCCAGCTGTCATATCCACACTCTGCTGCAGGCTAATTGTGCTTCCGTTCTGTATAAATAATTATTTCAGCACAATATCGTCCTTTTTTGGCTGATGCAAATTAAGAAAAGAGGGTCAGCAACCTCTTAATACCCTGGTATGAAAGGAAGTACAGCTCAGGGAGATTACAGACTGCTGCTTCATTTTCCCCCCACACAGGAGACAGATTATCTGCTGTCATTTATTTATGCAACACATTTCACCTGCCCCAGGATTGGCAGCAGATAAGTCCTCTTCCTAATGTGAAGCTCATTTTGAAAAAAGTTATTTCTAAAATAAAATTAGCACACCAGCTAGCGAATATTAACAAAAGAGACTTACCCCAAGAAATTTAAACAGCGCAAAGAGGTGGCAGACCAGCCTGATGCCGCTTGGGAAGCACTCGCTGATGGCAACAAAAATATTACCCTCTCACTGGAGGAATGCTGTTCCCCTTCCACCCCATGTATGGATGCACTTAAAACTATATATAGCATTTACCCCCAAATTTCCTTCTCATTCTGCACTTTGTAGATGAAGAGTGTGCACCTGTACCACAAGGTTTAATGAATTATTCTGGAGGCAAGTTTTATCCCCTTTCTTTATAATATGGGAAACGTTTTTTATATATATATATATATATTTTTTTTTTTTTTTAATGGAATATTGAAGATGAGAAAGAGTTGGAACAGTGAAACAGTAAATGGTGACAGAGTTTAGAAATTGTTCCACACAAAGTTTCATTTTTGAAAATCAGAAAAATAAATCTGAAATACCAGAGTGCCTCTCTTCTTATTATTGTCGGTAAGTCTAACATTTTTTCTAAAAGTATGAGGTATGAAGGATCTCCCCTTTAACCATCAAAAATATTGATCTGTCCAAGAGTCAGGAAGAAGTTTTCAGTCATTTCTGGCAGATCCTGACACTCAAAGCATTATGAGACCTTTTTAGGTTTCTCGAGACAGCTTGTCCTCCTTGGCTCAACACTTGCAGGCAACAGTCAAGCTATTTTTAACAGCAAATCCTCGGTTACAGTGATACCTCTACTTCTTACTGTACACGAGCCACTGCAGCTATTTTTATTCAAACAAGTCTATTATAAATAACAGAATATACATGGAAATATCTTATAAAACAGACTTAATTTTTCCCCTTTGACCTGTAGTTGTTAAAATGTTACTGATTTTATGTTTAAAATATTTTCACTGACATCTTTGCTCACTTTTACAATACAGTATATAGCAGTATATTCTTAAAAAAAAGACATTGTAACAGACATCATCTCATTTAATTAAAACCCGCAGTGTTTGCTATATAAGAAATCAGAACAATGCAGAGAAAAAAGATGTAACTTCTAGAAACAATGACTATATAGGAAATACTGAGCTTAGCAATTGTCCTGAAGAACTGACTCAAAAAAGTCACCCATCTCCCACCTTTACTCAAAGACAACAGTTACGCTACGATCAATTCATACATGCAAACCGAAACAAAGGCTGTGTGATTGATCATTCTTGATGTTACACGGGAAAAAAGGTCAAACACCAACAAAGGAGAAGGTTTGCATAAGGTTCCTCAGAGAAACTCATTCAGAACTTTCTCCAAGCATGACATCTGAGCGCACTACACCCTTAGACAAAAAACGGCTCATACAGATGCTGTACAACTGCTCCTAAAGGACACTCTTTTGAGGATGTTCACATTTTGGACTGAGAAGACGGATGGTTTGAAAGAAAAGTAAAGGAGACCATCTCTGTCCGCTGTGAACAACCATCTTTGGACAGAGGTGATGGCTTACAACACCAGCTATCAACTGCCTACAATGTAGTCTTGAGATCCCTTCCCAGTACCTCAATAGGTCACATGATGGGTTGGGAAAAGGTTTCACAGAGGTTTCACCCTTAACCCCCGGTGACAATAAAGACCTCAATAATCATGTCCACACTTTAGCCCATGCAATGACTCATATGATCAATAATAGGTCAGTGACTCTCAGGACCACCTCCTATGCCTGCGTCTCTCCACAAGTCCCGTTGCCTTTCTTTTTCTTAAGACTACCATTATCTGGATGACTGAGACCCTCCACAGAACAGAGTGCGATCAAATCATTAGACTGTACCTCTCTTAACAAGTACCAGTCATGTTAAGAGAGGTGACTGATCCATAATTTACAAAACAATCCATACATCTAAATTGGCTTTCAGATGCTATGATTTTCATTGGGTGTGACCAGGAGGGACAGAATTAGATAGAGTACATCTTTCCCAAACCGGTCATGGCAGATGGCCCCGCCCCTCCCTGAGCCTGGTTCTGCCTGAGGTTTCTTCCTGTTAAAAGGCAGTTTTTCCTTCCCACTGTCACCAAAGTCCTTGCTCATAGGGGGTCATTGTTGGGTTTTTCCTTGTATGTATTATTGTAGGGTCCACCTTTACAATATAAAGCACCTTGAGGCAACTGTTGTTGTGTTTTGGCGCTGTATAAATAAAACTGAATTGAATTGTGCAGAAGGACAGTAAAATTACTGGACAAAGGATGTTGAACATAGAGCACAGGGGAAGTTCATGGATTTAGTGAAGGAGGGCATGCTTGTCCTACTTTGTTGATGTGACCAAGGAGGATGCTGGGATCTAGTGAGATGGAGCCAGAAATCCACAACGGTGAAGGCATGGGCTCAGTTTGGTGTGACTCTCTGTTCAATGCTGCCACCTGATGTCCATCTGCAACAATATCTTTTCACACTCATACTTTCAGCCTTCAAAACAGTATTACAATGTGATTTGAGGCAGCACACCAAAACTTTCAGCCTTAAGAACTGAATAAAGTGCAAAAGACTAAAGATAAAGCTGATGAAAATATGATGAGTTCAGGAATTACAGTTTTCAGGGTTTTCTTTACTATATACTGTAATGTATATAGACTATATTTTTATATATTATATACTTTTTGCAGGTACTTCTCCTCAGCTCTTTTTTGCCACCTTTAAATTCCTAGGAACACATCTCTGAAGATCTTTAGTGGTCAGTTAACAACATCTGTGGTGAAAAAGGCTCGGCAGTGCCTCCACTTTTGGAGGGTTTTAAAGATGAATAAACTGGAGGACAAGCTGCTGGTGACCTTCTACTGCTCTACACTCGAGTCTGGACTGTCATGCACCATTAGTGTGTGATAGTGTGTGGCCCGCCGGCTTTACAGTGGCTGACAAAGAAAGACTGCAGAGGGTGATAAGGTCAGCTGAAAAGACCACAGGATGTTCTTTACCCTCTCTGGATGAGATTGAAAGTACTTCATGTCTCACCAGAGCAAAACTCATTTTCAGAGGCCACTTACCCTCCTGCCCAGTATAACCGTCAGCCTGTACAGTATGACTTAGTATAAGTAATGCCCTAACTTATTATCCCTGTGACCTGGAAGGAGAAGCAGAAGAAAATGGATAGATGGATGGATCTCCATCTGAACTAGTGAAAGTTACATGCAGAATGATAGTGTGCTTTCAACCAAAGTGTAGTTTAGTTCAAGTTTAACCTTTTGTAATAAAGATTAAGGCTACAAAGATCATCATCATCAAGTAAAACCTAACTAACACTGACTATATGCACTAAATGTGAGAGACATTTTTTGAGTTCACACTGATGTGTTTGTTTTCTTTTGCACAATTGCAGTAACAATTCTCTTTATCTGTTTCATTGTCTTTGACTTTAGGTCTCCTGTTGGATTCCAGTCTCGTTCCCCTCTCTGGCCCCACTACATAGCATGTTTGTACTGGGAGTAAAAGAGATTATTGGAGCATGATAATGTGACAAGCATGAAGTTCAGACATTTGAGATGCCTCATGTCTGCAGAATATTTAGACTACATAAGTGCCAATAGATTCAATGACTTTATGATGCATGAAGGCTGCAGAGATTTTATTTATTTATTTTGATTTTATTTGATGAGAATTTATAATAAACTAAACACCTCTAGAAATTTCAGTATATGTGGTCTTGGTCCCAGTAGATGTTCGAACTTGGTTCCAAGCAGGACATGTTACCAAGAAAAAAAGAGGACAATTGCAAATACCTTGGATTACATCAAGTCTCTTCTATTTATATCTCTTTTTAAACATGCCAACGTGAAAAACATGCTAACCTTCACTGTAACACCACAATCTGGCCAGTTTGCTCCTTGATATGCAGGGAATAGTCAAATATATTTCTATAACAGATTTACTGAGGACATTTAAGCTTCCCAAAGGATATTCCTCTGACAGACAGGAATCTTGTGTGCCTTTACAAACAACAAGCACATATATACTGCAGCAGATTGAAAATGGATTCGTGGATGAATGATGAACAGCAAAGTTTAAGTATACCGATAAACATATCAAGCATAACATATTAAAAGGGTCGCGTGTTGAGGAAAATACTTAAATGAGAAAAAATGAGTCCTTAATATTCAAATAAACATGTGGTTACATAAAGAAACTGTAAACAATTTAAAAAAAAGAAGTCATGCTTAAGCATGCGTTACTTCATTATAAAGAGCACAACATTTAGGTCACCAGGAAAGGTCACCCTGAAGCAGCCATGACACCAGGCCGGATAGTCTTCCTCAGAGGGGAGTGAATGAATATTAAGCCCTCCCCCTTTTTCCTCTCTCCTTTCTGAGCTTCTGTTTCACAGTGGGGAAAGGCGGCACCGGGAAACCATTCTTTAGGTTGCAGGCTGCTAAAGATGGAACACAAGAGGAGGGGGACTGTGTGTAGACTAGAGGAAAATCAAAGAGGGAAGTCCTAAATCACAATGGTTAAGGGGGGGAGGGGGGGGGATATAATAAAGACGTCACAAGCTTTAGGCGTCACTGAGTCAGGAGACATGGTTCATTTTACGCAGAGCGTGGTGACGTAATAGAGCCACAGGGGGCAGAGGAGCTGTCCCTGACTATGTATAGCAATGCTGAAGCCTCATCAGCAGTCAAAGAGGGGTGGGGGCTCGAAACATGTGCTGGCTATAGCTAAAGACACATTTTAAGCCCATGTAAGAATAGATTAAAAAAAATATATAAAACACATTTTCAAAATATCAATTAATGTGACTGCAACCTGCAAACAAATGTTTTTACTTCTTGTCTTTGGATGAGTCGTCCTGACTTTTTATATTCTTTGTTACTTTTTGTTTTTAGTTGTTGTTTTTTAATTAAAAACGCTGATTCGTGGATTTATAGGTACATAATGTGTGCAGGTTGCCTTCCATTAAGAAATGTCCTCTCAAGGTCAGGAATGACACTTAGCTTTAAAGCTATATCTCTAGCTTCTGTGTTGCAGTGGGTGGGGTGTGTGCTGCAGAGATAAGAAGCCATCAGTCACAAGTCTGACTCTCCAACGGTGCTGCTGCATGTGTGGAGCTATGAGAAGATGCTTGGATGTTGCAGCATGAATGTGATGTGCTTCAGGCTGCAGTTGGTGCTCAGTGTATTGCAGTAGTGACATCATCATGTGGCTGCCCTGCCTCTCTGCACGTCCACCTCCTGTAGCCGTGGAAACATGGAGACGTGCAAACTCTGGGAAGTCTATGGAGGAGAGTGGCCGGTTATCGTGCGTAAGCCGCTTCCTCATTCAGCTCACAACTCCCGTGCCCCCACTCCCATTTGCACTCCCCTGTTGCCCCCTCCTCCAATTTGCTCCCCACTCTTTCCTTTGCTTCCATGTCCTGGGTTCAGCCAATGGGAGTGCTCAGTGGGGGCAGGGCAAAACAGAACCACCATTCCTGTGCCGAGCTGTTACATCTCCTCAGAGCTAACAGGGAGCTAGCAGCTCAGAGGGAGGAGGCACGGCCAAACCCAGCCTGTGTGTGTGTTTGTGTGTGTATGTGTGTGTGCCTGTCGCAGACTAGCAGGCAGGGCCGCTGCTGCACACTGGTTTCACCAGACTTTTTCCTTTTAACCTTGCCTTGACACAGTGCTCAGGCAAGGCCTGCTTTTGCTTCTACTTCAGGATAAAGCGGGATCAGCGTGAGGGGAAACTGAACAATCTTCTTTTCCCTTCTTCTTCACTGTCAAACCACCTCGTAGTAAGTGACAGCTCCCGAAGGACACGCAGACAGGATGATAGCGGCTCAGCTTCTGGCCTACTACTTCACCGAGTTGAAGGATGATCAACTCAAAAAGGTGAGCGACAGCAGCTTTAAACTGTTATGGTGGTCCTTTTATATTAGACTTCAGAGCTTTGTTATATCACAGCAGCCTAGCGTGTACCCACAGACACCGGCGAACAGTGGCTGCATGGTGGGATCGAATCTTTGGGGTTTATCGTGTTGGGAGAAGAGGATGCACCATTTGGGAGTTACGGGAGGAGAAAGCCAGCATGGTGTTTAATATTGATATGGTGCATTTTCAGTTTGTTAGCAGTATTTGACACAGATGTCCTTGAGCAGGGCTGTGGTCATTGATCGTGGTGAAAGCCCCATCACTGAGCTTTTCCGGAGCACTGGTTGCTATGGCATCTGAAGCAGACAGGTGTCTATGAGGGGTTGTTGGCAAAAGTCAAGATCTCCAAGATCCACGATTTTGTCCCCGACTGTCAGTGTCTTTCTTTTCCCAGTCATTCATTTTTACTGTTTCACAGATGTTCTATCCCATTGCACTGTTGCCTTCTTAATTTCATTCCTCTTTTAGTCCATCGTGAAAACACATTTCAATTTTTTAGCAGCTCATAGACGTTGCCATCAGTGAAATCTGAGCCTGATTACAGCTTCTAGCTGCCCATATAAACGGACTCTGTGTTCACAGCGAATTCGTGACTGAACAAACTGGTAAGATATCCCCAGGGAATAGGGGATACGGGTGAGGGCAGTCAGTGTAAGTGGGGGTGGGGTCAAATACTCATGACGTCATGTGTGATATCACAGTGCAGTAGCAACACGTGCCACTGCTGAAGTAGGTTACTGGAACTACTGGGGTAAAAACAATCCTTGAAAGGATGAAAGCTCTTAAACCATGCACATCCTGCAGGGGACACCGACACTGTAACCATATCAAGATAAGGAGTCAAATTTAGTGGCAGCTAGATTTACTATCTGTTATCCAAGTGTTGTAGTAGCGGGGTAGCCTTAGTGTGTAGACCTTTGGTCTTACTAGTATTCTTTGATTAAGCATCAAAGGATCAGGCAAACAAACAAAATTTTATTTAAATCCGTAAGAATTCTGAAAAAGTTTGATACAAAAACATGACAAAAGAAGGCATCACACAGATGCAGTTGAATAACATAAGAAAGAGACTGATAATAGATGCCATATTATAAGTGTCAGGAAAACTAAGAGTGAATAACTATACGAATTAACTGCATTTACATACAACATTAAGAAGATTGGCCATGAAAAAAATCAGTATGTTACTTTATAAAGTATATATAGACAAACATCAAAGTTACTGTATTTTTTAAAAAAGTTACAGACATGTTTCATTACTCTTGTAGACAAACTCTACAAATCAGGTGACATTTTGGAGAGGCTAATATTAATAATGTGACAGAGTAGCTTGATGGGTAACAGATGTGTGGACTGTCTTGTGGCACAGAGCAGGTTTCAGGCGTGTGGGGTGCCCCATGGCATGCACTGTGATTATATAACAATAACAAAAACTGTCCTCTGTAAATCCTCCCAACAAACATTTCATTCATTAGATGTGTTAACTGTGATGTAACCATATAATGTAGCTATTATTAAAAAATGTTTTGTTGATAATTTAATTGTATCAAAATGTTATGCTGACTAGTACATGGATTCAAGTGTCCAACTTCAGGCTCTTTGCCACAATTAGAGGTACTCCCTGTTTATTGATTTTTGCCCATGTCCTAGAACTCCTGCCATGCCGTTAACTAATTCAAATGACACAAACCCATTATAAACACCATCCCAGGAAACCCCCATTGTTGTGTTTAAACCACGACAATACTAGTAGGCAGTGTTTACATGTGTTTAATTCATGTTAATTGATATGTGCTCAGGTTGCAAAATATTAGTGTCTCACAGATGTTTAGCAAGCATAAAACATCCCTAACAACTTCTCTGTGCACCTATTCTTCAGATCGATAAGTACCTGTACTCCATGCGGTTCTCCGATGAGACGCTTAAGGACATCATGAACAGGTTCCGCAGGGAAATGGAGAATGGGCTTGAACGTGACACCAACCCCACTGCCACCGTGAAGATGCTGCCCACGTTCGTCAGGTCCATTCCTGATGGATCAGGTAGAGTGTGTATTAAGAGTCTCACAGAAATCACAGATTATTGAGAAAAGTGCTCTGATCAGCTCAAAAATATTCTCCTTAATTGTGTAAGTGCCCAACAGTGCCCCCAAATGCCCAAAGTCATTGGCAGTTCACTTAATGAGGTCAAATACATGGGTTTAAGCCTTTAAAGCTTAAAAATGCTTAAAAATTTGTAAAAATATTTTAACAATATAAAAAATATCACAAAGCTCAAAAATAATTCTGCATTTTAGAAGTCAAAATGGTTCAAATATAAAGGAGCATTTCCACTATTATGCAGAAGAAGCAGCATCATTAATACCTCCTATTCACACACTGATGACAAAATTTCATCCATACTCGTTGAAGGATGTATTTGTTTCTGTCTGACTGTAAAGAATGTGCTGATGTTAAAATTGTCACATAAGCCTCTTTGTGTTTGTGCTCTGGGTTCAAGCTAAATAGATTACTATTGTTTTAGGCCTGAGGCCAAACAGTCCACACAGCCTCATCACTCAGTGTAACGTACAAGCAGAAGAAAACCTCATAATGTTACATTTAACTTACCTGAAACAGAATCCTCATAGGCTCGTCTAATCCAATCATATCTTTGTGTCAAATATTTTTCTTTACTAGTCTGAGGACTGGCCTGTAACCAGCAAAAGGCCTTTAGTAAGACCATGCAACTAGTTTAAGATGTTACTTTTCTTATATTTTGGGGCTATACTGATAAAAGAATAGAGGAACAGAATGTATATTCAGGATACTTTGACAGTCAGACTATTACAGATGATAAAAGATCATTTACTGGGAAACAAACCTCAAAAAGTAGAATTGATGACTAAATATTTGAATGTCTTTCTGCTGTTTTTGGTTTTATTCTTGTATTCAAGTCAAAAAATGAGAAACAAAAATGCAGAAATATACTTCAGGTATATCTTAGTTTTCCTGCAGACTGATGTCCGAACAAGGCAGCCGGACATTCCTGCCTTCTCGCACTATATATAGCCTAGGGTTTCAACATGAGGTGACAGGGATGAAGCAAAGTGCGAAGTTGAAGCTATGGTGATGGCAAAAAAAATAAATAAATAAACATTTTAAATCCATATAATGACAGTAGTGACAAACATGTTGGCAAGGTTGGTTGTCATGATAAGAGGGATAAGTGAAAATTAATCCCATTCCTCTGTCTTGACTTTTTTCTCTGGAAAGAAAATTCACAAATGAACAGCTCAGACTGTAATTTTTACTGTGTAATAAGATTATACTTGGTGTAAAAGCTAATGAGAGATACAAATGTAGACAGACCAGCTTAGGGTCTTCATCCTAAATCTCACGGATTCTGTTTTCACTATCTTTTATTACTAAAACACATTTATGGAAATGGAATAATTAAAAGGTATTTTAGAATCAAATGGCAGATAGAATCAAACAGAATCAAATCTCTCGAAAATAATAATAATTTAAAAACTGTAAACCATATTATGTTTCTTTTTTTTTGCCAGTACTACAGACACCAGCCATGCCACAGATAAAGCCTTCTTTTATCAGTGATTAGATTACAACACTAGTTTTGACGAGCTTAGTTAAGAATTTTTGCATTAATTAAACGAAACAGCATCAGGACATTTGCATGCTAGCACTGAGAATATACAACGACATGGGTTATAAAACAGCAAATGCTCTGCGGCAAATCACTAACACTTGTATGTCCAGCCCAGACACACATCTCATTCCAGTCAGGTCAAGAGGATTAATAGCTCAAGGCAGCAAACATTACAGTCATGGCACAACTGAACACTGTTTTGTTGGAGGGCAGCTGAACTTCTTTACTTAAAGGTTACAACTCTGATTCCAGCAATAGTAAATTTACATCCACATGTTCTGTTCTTATCCAGTGTCAGATTTCAAGAAGAATAAATTTATGTAATTACCTGTAATATTGCACATATAGGTCTGTGTATTCATTTCAGAACAAACTTCACATTTTTTAATCAGAGGGGCTATTTGTTGACATTATGCTTTTCTTTTCTTTCCTTTCTTTTTTTTATTTTATTCGGTGGGTTTCTTTATATATTTGATTCTAAGGACAGGCAGCATTCCAACCATAAGTAGGGAGTAAGGAAAATAAACCTGAGGATATGTTCCTCGTGTCTTTGTTGAGAAATGTTGATATAGATCTTTGTACTTTTGGCCAAGAGGGGAGTATTATTCCAAACATTGTCTTTTGTTGATGCTACTACTAACAGCATGTGCTTTGTGGTGGATGCCTGTAAAGCTCCTTTTCTCTTTTAGTGACATGCCAAGCTTGGGAATACTGATGGCCTTAGAGAGAATTAGCAGTGACAGCTTTAATAAAGTATCAAACATTCATTAATTTCTAATCTGCCCTAAATTAAAATTAGGATATTATATTACATTTCTTAAAAAAGAAACACATTTTCACTCCCTTTGCTTGTAAAAACTGTCAAAAAACAAAATGCAAAACATAAATCTACCCAAAACTCACATTTGACCCTGGTAGCCCTAAGTGCAGTCTTTGGGCCACCTATGAGTTGACTTCTGGTATTCAGGTATGATCCAAAATATACATAATATGGGGAAAATCTTCTGTTTTTTGTTGTGTGTGTGTGTGTGTGTGTGTGTGTGTGTGTGTGTGTGTGTGTG